AGTCAGTTTCCACCCCTGATGGAGACTGTACTGTTCACCTGTCGGACCAAGGAGAGGCTGCATGGAGGAGGGGTGTGCGGATCACTATGATTATGGTCCATGTGCCTCTCCCTGTCCCTTGCTTTGTGTCCACTGCTTCAAGCACCATCTGTCTTCCTTAACTGGCCACAGTATTAAAACCAATTATGTGATTTGGACTCTTTATCAAATCTATTTAAAGGAATTTTATAATCATGGACCTGAATTTTAAAATCAATTCAGGTGGGTCTTTTCTGTTTTTCTCTTAAAAATACTAATTCACTTCATCTTGGGTGGCTTGGGCCTGGTTCACCCCACCCACCCCACCCACCCTGCTCTGTGGATTACAGGGACCTTGACAAGTAAGCCTTTAATTTCTGAAGTTGTATATTCCTTGGCTTTTCCATTTTGTCAAAGTATTATTTAACAAAAGGCAGACTAAGGTGTACAGAAATATGCTTTAAAGTTGTTTTTCCCCAAATAGGACATATGCTAGTTTCCGTTCAATGCATCAGGGCACATTTATATCAGTGACTAACAAGCTTTCTGATTCCATCAGCGAAAAACAGATGATGTTTAACAGTGGAGCTGCCTTTGTGTTTGTTATTGTTTGCGTATGAACTTGCTCTTTGCACGGCTCACACAGCCATGGAGACCGTGTGGAACAATATATGGCAGCTGTTCCCAGCCATCCACACGGCGTCATGACTTCCGCTTGGTTTAACTTGTTCTGACAATAAACAACAAGAGCTGCTCTGCTTTGCTGGAGGAAGCCTGGCCGATTCTAACCAGCAGCAGAGCTGGGCCGGCTCCCCTCAGGTGTGGTCCTCGCACGGCCTGCGTGTCTGAAGTGAGGAAGCGCTCAGACGGGCAGCACCACCCTCCCTGCTGGGTAAGGAGGGAGATACTGGAGAGAAAGGTGGATAAAGGCTGTTGGTCCAGGATCTAGGCCAGTGGTTGGTAAACCGTGGCTCGCGAGCCACATGCGGCTCTTTGGCCCCTTGAGTGTGGCTCTTCCACAAAATACTGACTTCTGCACATGGGCCATGAAGTTTCAATCGCACTGTACGTGCGCGCCCGCACGTGGTATTTTGTGGAAGACCCACACTCAAGGGGCCAAAGAGCCACATGTGGCTCACGAGCCATGGTTTACCGAACACGGCTCTAGGCTAAAGGATGTGACTCAATTCTTGGAGACAGCCATTTCGAGAGTTTTCCATCTAAGGAAGAAAATGCCAAAGTGGTACTGAGTGTACGTGTGGCCCCAGGTCAGTGGGGACCTCATGGTTTTAGAACTGTGGTTCTCAACCTTCTGGCCCTTTAAATACAGTTCCCCATGTTGTGACCCAACCATAAAATTATTTTCGTTGCTACTTCATAACTGTAATGTTGCTACTGTTATGAATAGTAATGTAAATATCTGATATGCAGGATGGTCTTAGGTGAGACCCCTGTGAAAGGGTCGTTTGACCGCCAAAGGGGTCGTGACCCACATGTTGAGAACTGCTGTTTTAGAGGGTCAAGTGGGCTTTTGAATCCCTCCATTTCCAGGGTCCTCATCCCCAAGATTTCTATAAAATGCTGATGCCGATGTGCTCGTGGTCTGGCCCTCAGACCACATATATGTTTCTGCTTTGTTTCTTTGTCACTCAGGGAGAAAGCTTAGTTCCTCGCTGGTTTCCACAGGAAATCAATACATATTGAGCTCTGTGCACATTATTATAAATTTGCTGAATATTTAGGTTAGGAGGGGGGTCACATGACACATCGATTCACTTTTGTTTCACTGCATCCTAACCTCCCTCTCCCATCTCCTGGGTCCCCCTCCAGAACATTCCACAGGTCTCTCTCCTTTGACATGCAGAACAGTGTCCAGTCCCCACTGCTCCCCTAAGCTGGTTGATCAGGAATTTTCACAAGGGCAGTCCTTTGGGTATTATCTTAAAGAGAAATTTTCATAAGAGCTACTAAGTGGAGGGAGGGAAAAAAAACTTCACTTTATCCATCTTGTTTGAAGGGCACTCCCCCAAATTGCCTAATAATTATAGCTCACATTTACTGAGTGCTCACTACTTACAGACCCCAGTGCTAAGCAGACACATTCAGATGCACAGCCACTCATAACTCGGAGAAGCTAGAAGATTTGGTCAAGTCACTCAGCTAGAAAGTGGCAGGGCTGGGATTTGAACCCAGGGAGCCCTTTTGCTACACTGCCTACATGGCCAGAAAGGCTGCGCCCACCAAGGCACAACCCCAGTGGCTGGAGGCCAGGACAGCCTTGAGCTAAACCATAGAGGACATTTCTTGTTGATGAGAATCATTTCTGAGCCCCAGAGGGTCACTGGGAACACTTGGCTCCCGCCCCTTCCTTCTGTCCCCATGGCTAGATTATGTGTGGCACCCTGAGCTGTGGGGCGACCCTGATGGTCCTTGGCAGCTCAAAGGCCACGTCACCCACACTGTTGCTGCCGCATCTTACAAGTGAGGGAACTCAAGTGAAAGGATGGCTCTGATTTAGGATTAAGACCCCACACACTTCCCCAGCCCTCTGGGCATTACGGGAGAGTGACCTGGAAAATCAAATGCAGGGAAGTGTCCCAAATGTAGGAGTCTTGTTTGAGGCGTAGGAAAACCTATTAGCTTGAGAAATTGGTCTGGAAATCTTATTAAAAGAGACAAATAATTCCGCATTCTCTCCAGACTGAAAATATTGGGGGTAACTGACTTTCTCTGATGCCTCGGACCACTGTACCTGATGTTGGGATCACGGTCAACTTCTGGCAAGGCCAAATTCAGTGCAAATGATAAAGGCAATTATTTTTTTAATGGGAAGTTCTGATGAGTTCTGATTTCTCTGGCCAGTCACAGACTTATCAGTGCTGGTCCCTCACCACTGCGAAGGGTGCAAGGCAGGAGAGCCAATGGCGGAGAGAAATGAAGGTCAAATTGTGGATCTGTCATAACCGCCCAGCTCAGCAGATGACTGTCCAGCCACAGGGTCCCTGTGACAGCCACCCACACACATGCTCAGATAACCCCCAGTAGAGATGCCAGGAAAGCAACCATCATTCGTTAGGTCTTTGCTATTACAGACAGGTGATAAGAAGAATCCATCAGCTTTAAATGTGAGGCATTATCATACTTGTTATTTTTGTGGAGCACTGATAGGCTCAATAATACTGTGAGTCGCTGGGATTCAGTGGGTACGTATGCCCTGCCTGTTTGTTCACATGCGCCATCTCCTTTATTCCCAGAACAAGCTGACAGTGTAGGGGTCGGCCAACTTTCTCTGTGAAGGACAAGATAGGAAATATTTTAGGTTTTGCAGGCTATGTGGTCTGCTCAGCTCTGCCATTGTAGCTCGAAAGCAACCACAGACAATACTACATAAACAAAGAAGTACAGCGGTATTTCAATAAAACTTTACTGACAGAACCGGTGCTGGCCGGGTGTGGCCTATCCTGTGACCAATATTATCCCTGAACCGGAATCTGGGTTGCACAGCTAGGATGTTTGGAGATGTGTGCTTTCTCTCTCCTTCATCCTCCCTCCTCCTGGCTTTTCCATTCTGGTTCCAGTTCTGGAGAGAGAAAGAATAGAGAAAATGCCCTTTTGCATATGACTGCTCTCTCTCCATAAAGGGACATCGATCCCTTTCATGAAAATCCTGCATCCGTGGTAGCTGTGAGGAGGCCACTGGGTTTCTGTCTGCAAGCTGGCGTAGGCTGTGGCAGACCAGGTGGCCCTCAGAGGCCTCGGTGGGTCTTGTGAATCTTGGCTCCATCTTCTGGGTAACCCCCAGGTGGAGGGTCCATGCTGGAGTGGCCCCTGACAAGCATACAGCCTCAACTTGCTCTTTTCTGTGCCCAATGCTGAGGTCTATAAACCTGGACAGAGTCCACCCCCATGATCCTTGGGAAGCAGGAATTTGAGGAAGCACATTTGCCCCTCTGAGCCACATCCTCTGCCAACTACCTCAATGTTCTTTCTCCAACTGAAGTCATCTGATGGCTTAACAGATAGAGAAGAATGAAGTGTCTGTCTCTCTTTCTTGATGAGACTATAAACCTAAGGAATCACTTGTGATCTTAGGCCATGGTTTCTCAATCTCTGCACTATTGATATTGGGGGCCAGAGTCCTGGGTGGGGGAAAGGTATACCCTCATTGGAGGATATTGAGCAGCATCCTGGCCTCCACTCACTAGATACCCATAGAAACCCCCAGGTGTGACCATCAACAGTATCTTCAGACATTGACAAATGTCCCCTGGGTGACAAAACCACCTCTGGCTGAGACACTGTCTTAGGTTGTGGGGCCACCGTCACCTTTGCTCTCAGCTGTAGGATCTGATTCACAATTCCAGAAAAATAGGAAAGATCACAGGCAAGACCTCTCAACACCATGCTACATCACCTTTTGTAAGGTAAGCATGGTTATCCCCATTTTACATATTAGAAAACTGAGGCCTGGGTCACACAACTAGTAAGGAGCAGAGCCTGGATTTGCACCCAAGCATGTCTGATGCCAAAGCTTATATATATTCTAAAGTGTTCATGATCTGATCATGAAATGATTGTAAAGGTTTCCCTGGAATGGGGAAGTGTTTGCCGAGGTTCACATTAGTGAAAAGAAAACTAGAGGTTATACCTGCCCTTCCCTTGGAGTGTTCTACCTAAGTCTGACAGCAGCGCTTCGAGGTAAATACCATTCTCCCCATTTTACAGATGAGGAAAGTGAGGCCCAGCAAGTCTAGCAAATGGTGTGAAATCATCACAGCAAAGTGTTTCTGTGTTCAGAACTTCGACTTTTCAACAACACCCCCCAAAATGGGTGGCTGCTCCCCAACAGGGAAGCGGAATCTAATTTCCTACATGACACTCTACATCTCTAGCCAGTGTGTTCTGCCTACGATAAGAAAGGCTTAGTGATACATGAGACTAACGCCCTCCCACCCGGCCTCTTCCTGTGGCCTCTTTCCCAGCTCTGTATGCAGTACTGGCCTGAGAAGACCTCCGGGTGCTACGGGCCCATCCAGGTGGAGTTCGTCTCCGCAGACATCGACGAGGACATCATCCACAGAATATTCCGCATCTGCAACATGGCTCGGGTAAGTGTGCGGCCGCCATTGCATCCCACGCCGCCCTCTCCCCTACCGCACACACACAAATAGATGGAGCCTGTGGGAGAGGAACCCCCGGCTAATGAGTGTCCGGACTGAACTCTCAGATCATTTCGTCCTTGGGGAAGCGATGCCTCTGCCGATTCCAGGTTAACACAGGGCGACATCCCGCCTGCCATCTGCCTTTTCCTGACACACTTGCTGCCATGTAGACAACACTTAGAAATTAGCGCTTTCCCACTGTATTGCGCTGTTCTGGCAGTAGATGCAGCCTTTGATTGGCTCCAGTAAGCTTTGGCTAGACCCTGGGAACCACACCAAAAAGAAGAAGAGCTGCTTCCAAGAGGAAACTCACTGGCTGGGTGGAAGGGAGCCGATTGGTAACCTATGGAATGGTGGCTAACTAAAGTGACATGGGCCTTTATTGGGGCCCAGGGTGAACAGAACTCAGCCCCTGCCCTCAGAGTTCACTATCTAGTGCAGTGATGGCGAACCTTTTGAGCTCGGCGTGTCAGCATTTTGAAAAACCCTAACTTAACTCTGGTGCCGTGTCACATATAGAAATTTTTTGATATTTGCAACCATAGTAAAACAAAGACTTATATTTTTGATATTTATTTTATATATTTAAATGCTGTTTAACAAAGAAAAATCAACCAAAAAATTGAGTTCACTTGTCACCTCTGACATGAGTGTCATAGGTTTACCATCACTGATCTAGTGGGAAAGTGAGATATATTCTGGCACATGAACCTCAGGGAAAGGGCAGGCTTTCCCTCAGGAATGGAATGTTTGAATTGTGTTTTGAAGACTGAGTAGGAGTTTTCCAGGTTGAGAAGGGGTGCAGGGCAATCATGGCAGGAGAATCAGTGTGCACAAAAGTGTAGAGATGAGTAAAGAGAGAGTCTGTGACTCTCCCCGTGATGACATGGCTGAGACCTCATTTAGTCTGTCCTCCACCCAATGCTGCAACAGCCCTAACAGCCTCTCTGTTCTCAGCCTCAGGATGGGTATCGTATAGTCCAGCACCTCCAGTACATTGGCTGGCCCGCCTACCGGGACACGCCCCCCTCCAAGCGCTCTCTGCTCAAAGTGGTCCGGCGGCTGGAGAAGTGGCAGGAGCAGTACGACGGGCGGGAGGGACGCACCGTGGTCCACTGCCTGTGAGTACTGTACTAGGGAGGCATCTCCAGGGCCACGGGGTGGTGGGTGATAGGACGGCCTTGAGGATGCTGGCCACAAACACTAGTCCTAGGCATGCCTGGCTGTACCACATCTCAACATCCCTGAAAGGCCAATGGGAGTGTATTCAAAGAATCGCAACCCTTCAATGGACTGGGGTTGCCCTGAACTAATGTTATGTGACATATTTACTGATGCAAAACCTGGTAGCCTTTCCCCAAACATGGAGTGTGGTCAGACCACACCCCTAAGCTCCCAGGAGGCAGGTAAGTCCCACCCTCCAGCAGGAAGCAGGATGTGGCCTGCCAGTCACAAGCAGGCTCAGGAGGAAGAGGGTTCCACCAACTAAACCCTCTTCTATTATTTCCTGAAGAAAAGGAGGAAAGGGGAATGGGTTAAGTGAGCTCTATGCCAGGCAGTTAAAATGAGTCACCTCGTTCCATCTGTGAGGTAGATTTTATCATGTCACAGTGAGAAGACTGAGGCACAGGCGGTGAGGCATCAAGTAGTTAAGAGAGGAGCTTTGATTAGAATCCACTGGCCTCCAGGCTAACGTGCCATCCATTAACCCACACTCCCACTCTGAGTAAACCAAGGGGTTCATCCACTATGTCTGCAACACTTTTCCCAGGGCACCGTGGGCTCAGGTCAGCTGTGTTCATACTTCCATTACTGAGGTGAAATGGAACCTTCACCTCCTGTCTTAGGACAGTCATAGCTGGGGCACAGGGGTTCCGGGTCAAACAGACCCTGATGTCATCACGCAGGGTGGAGGTCAGGTCCCTTAGAGGACTGTGGCTGACAAGCTATCTTCAAGGAAATCACTTAATTTTATGAGCCTTAGTTTACTCATCTAATGGGTCTACTGAATTAGGTCATTGTAAGGCTCTGTGGGGCTTTGTGACATATTTAGAAAGTAAACACAGTTTATCTGCCAACATACAAATCTGCAATATCATGGTAGCAAATATGCAAATGCCTGTGTCCAAGTCTACCATAGGAGTATAAAGAGAAGGATCCTAGAGACTTCAGACCCAAAACAAACCGGAAGCGATGATAGCTTGTGTGGAACATCTGATTCACGACCATTCCCTTTGCTTCTTAGAACCTTAAAGTCATTGGGGAGACATGACTGAGAGGGCCCGCTTGTTAAAAAGGTGTGTTAAGGAAGATTGGGTCAGAGACTTCCCCTTTTCAGAATAACTATTTGTGGAGTTAGTGGAGGCATTAATAACACCTACTGACCTCAGAATTGTCTTTTCAAAACCAGCTTATTCTCTAAAAGGACGCGCACACGCATGTCAGAAAAGTCACAGAGCTTAAAGTGAAGTTCAACACACACAGCTCAAGGGCCATCACCTGTAGCAATCCCCCTTCCCAAGGGATGCCCACTGTAGTCCAGGAAGATGCCATGAGGTGTTGCATGTCTCATTGGTGGGAGACATCAGCCAGGCTGAGCTGGCTCTCCCCACATCCCAGAAACTGGCAGCTGGTTCCCTGCCAGCTAACCCTGCTCCCTTCAGTTCCCTCCCACACACTCAGGTGGCTCTCCTTCAGCCCAGAGCCACACCCATCTCACCAGGGTCTCACTCCACTGGCCCAAGATGCCTCTTCCTCTTGGGTTCTGCTGTTCTTGCTCCAGAAAATACTGAACCCTCCCTCCTGGGGGTCCCTCCCTCCTCTTTCCTATGTGATTGGTTTTTATCCCTCTCTTCCCTGTCCAAGGTGACCAGCAGTTTGAACCAAAGGAAAGTGCAGGGGTGTCCTTCTATCAACAGGGACCTTGGCACCCCTGGGAGCCGCCGTCACCAAAACAGACACTGAAATGCAGGCGCTGCCTAGTGAATGAAGGCAATTGTCTATACTTGAAGCATCTGGTCGTTGGATGTCCTATAGATAAAACATCTGGGAGATCAAGTGCCTTCGTTTCATCCAGATGTTCCTTAGACACAGACCATTACATGAAATCATTAGTTACTCTTGGCAACACGCCCAGGAGTTCCGAATCAGGCAGATTCCAAAAGGGACTCTGTAAAGAGTTGAGATGTCTCCATGAAGATGACATATGGAGGCTCAGAAAGAAGGAGTGGCAGGGAGCTGGCCCTGCCAAGGACTCTCTACCTCTACTCTCCAGAGCTGTAGGGTCTTGCTTACCCAGGTGTATAAATAGAGACTTATCACTTCAGGACACAGTATCTCAGACCCAGCCTGGCCCCCACCCAAACACCTGGGCTGGCTGTCCCTAGTGGGTGGACCCAGAGCATCCCTTTGGACAAGGATGCAGACACATGAATAAAGACACCATGAGGCCTGAAGGTTGGGGTTGGTGTGCCATAACCTGCTCACAGAACCAAGGAAACATCAAGCTAACGGAACTCTCCCGGGTCCTCTAGTCCAACCCCTCCATTACATGAATGGGAAACTTGGAGCTCAGACAAGGAGTGACTTACCCAAGGTCACAGCAGGTCCGGGACACTCGAACCCTGACACATGGCTCGGGTTAGGGCTTTCACCAGTGCCTTACCTTGCCTTGGCCAACGTAGCCACTCCCCCATGCCAGTGGGGCACCCAGGAAGGAGTCTGACTTACCCTCCCTCTGTGTTTAGAAATGGGGGAGGCCGCAGTGGGACCTTCTGTGCCATCTGCAGCGTGTGTGAGATGATCCAGCAGCAGAACATCATTGACGTGTTCCACATCGTGAAAACACTGCGGAACAACAAGTCCAACATGGTGGAGACCCTGGTGAGTGTCCCGAGAACTGTTCTCCCCCAGGCAGGGCGTGACCCTAGTTCCCTGTGCCGGAAGAAACCAGCATCAAATAGTAAAACACTCAGTGACTTAGCACCTACAATCGACATCCTTTGCTCCCAGTCTCACCAACTTCTCTTTCCTGCAGGGCAGCCCACATATTAACCCTGATACACCCCACTCTGTTTTACTCTCTGCCCGTTCTTTAGGGAAGTACCACTAACTCAGGCTTAGGGGAAGGGCTTCTGGATTGGTAGAGTGTGGATTATGTTTTGGATCCAGTTCCATCCCAGTCTAATTGACTTAGGCTAATTTTATGAATACAGTATTGGAAAAGGACATTGGAGAAAGGGATGGAAAGAGACTGGTCAGGTAGAGGCCCCGAGGAGAAGACCTGGTGCAATGATGGGGACAGACCACACATAACTTTAATGTGAGTCTTTAACCCACTCTCAGTGGGTCCCCCTCAAAGTCTGGTGTGTAGACCAGCAGTAGCATATGGGAGCCTGGTAGGAATGTCGAATCTTGAGTCCCACCCAAGAGCAACTGAATCAGAATCTGCATGGAGAATTCTGAGCTGACTGTTAGCACAGATGTAGGTAAAGTTCGTTCCAAAATCATACCTCTAAATGCATTTTCCTTTCCCTCTCTCTCCTACCTTCCCTCCTCCCTGTCTGCCTCTCTCCTCCTCTCAGGAACAGTATAAATTCGTATACGAGGTGGCATTGGAATATTTAAGCTCCTTTTAGCCTGATGGGATGGGGAGCCTGCCGGAGTCCAGAGGCTGCTGCAGTCAAACCCCCTTTTCTGTGAATGGCAGTGACAGGCTAAGAGGCGGCACCTGGCCCAACTCCAAGGAGAAGACTGGTGGTCTCATGCCTGGGGTGGGCCCTGCACCTTCTGAGGGGCTCCTGGAACTGGGAGATAGGCTCTGAAAGGCCCAGGCTTCTCCTGCACCCCCACCGAACACAGACACGGACCCACAACAAGGCCCCGGACTTCCCAGTTCCCTGATCTCTTGCTTCTGTGCTTTCCAAGTGTGTGGACCTCATGGCAAGCCAGCTGGGGGTGCTGGGAGATGCAGGCTCACTGTACCTCTGGGCCTGCTTCTCCTTGGGAGTGAGGGGATTGTCTCCACCTCCACGCTGTGGGCGCAGTGACTGGCCTCTTGGGGTCCCTGCCCTGCTGCCCTCTGCAGTCTCCTTCAGTGACCTGGGGCTGTCCCGAGACCACAGCAGGGGCCCCATCATGCCCCCCTGCCTGCACGGAGCTAGCCCTCCAGCATTCTGTACCCTCCCCAGCCCGGGCCTTGACCCTCTGTCACTCACGCCAGCCTGCTGGGTCCACAGCACTCTTGGATGAAGGTTTTCTTTGCTTTTTTTGTCCTCGGTGGGAGGGGGTGGATCTGCAGGGATGGTGGCTGCTCCTCCTTGTCTGTGACAAGGGACCCCTGCCTGGAGGCAGGGCTCTTGCTGACCCTTGGGTGGCGCCCCCTTTGGGAGAGATGACAGGATGAGATTTGATTATTTTCCAAAGCATATATTAAAAGAAACTTTCTTTTGGGGGATGTAAAATCTAAGTCTCTTATGTGAAAAAAAAAAAAGGGAGCGGGGCTGGGAAGGAAGTTTGGATGTGTAGCTACAGGACCAATCTCTCAGGCCTGTCATCAGGCAACATCCTTAAAGGGTCCCATCTGGGACGGCCCCGCCACTGACGAGGCAGAGACGGCTAGACAGAGGCCACTCCTCTGGCTTCTGGGCAGCTGAGTCCCCGCTTTCAGCATAATCTTCCGAGGAAACCCAGCTGCTATCCTGACAAAGGCCACTGTGGACCAGTTATGCTTTGGTTTAAAATGGGCCGAGGGGGTCAGGCCTGGGAAACTAGGGTCCTGCCCAAGGATGTGTGAGTCAGTGACAGGGAGCCGGCATCTGCTAGGCATCTCCTGTGTGTCCGGGTGAACCACTCCGTGTGCCATCCTACAATCTTAGGGACACCCCTACCCCGGGGAGAGCGCGTGCCCTTTCGTTATCTCCATGTTACGTGAGGAAGCCGAGGCATCTTCCTCGGCGGTGAAATTCTGGGCTCCAGAAAGGCGAATAATGGCGATAACACTTATTTTCCTTACTTTCTCCATCCTTTCTCAGCCAAGCAATTATTTTATGGAGGGAAAATAGGGCCAGAAACTTCTGGGCAGAGAACTACACAAATGGAAATTTAATTCTTTCTTTCTGGTGCCAGTTCTTCTGGGAGGCTCAGAATTTCAGCTCTATTTTAGTGCCTCGTTCCTGGCTCCCCAGGAAAAGCTAGTCTCCTGTAATCATTCCTTCGCCAGTGAAACCATTCCCTGTTCCCTCAGGCAATGCTGTCTGCCAGAGACGCCCTACCTTGTCTCTCGCAGGGGTGTGGGCTCAGGACCTGACAGCCTTGGGGTGGCCTGGGATGGAGGAAGCTGCATCATGGAGGCTGCTCTAGCCTCAGACAGGAGGAATCAGCAGCTCAGAGTGCACTGGGGAAACGGAACCACGGTGCAGCTCAGGAGCCATGGAGCAGGGAGCCTGCCTAGGGCTTCCCAGAGGAGGTGACTCCCACCCCAGCTGGGTCTCCACTGCAGGAAATCCAGGCCAAGATCAGCATGGGCAATGGCAAAGAGGTGTGGGAAGTCCTGGGGTGGGGGCAGTATGGGGGGAAGGGCAGCCCACCCAGAGGTTAGGAGAGGAGCCAGGGTCAGGGGTGAATGCTCCGCCAACAGTGCAGCTTCACCCCATGGGCCACAGGGAGCTCGGGTGATGCGCTCAGCTCAGTGTTGGGGCAGCCGGCCTCTTCCCCTTCATCAGACACTGTGAAAACACTCCCTTCGACGTGTACTCTTTACTATCACATCTATTTGTCTGTCTGCTCATTATTTTGTCGCTGGAACAAAATACGCAGGGGATTGTGAGCTTCTGCTTCTGTGAGAAACAGGGTCTCTGCTCTACCAGGGGGCAGGGTGACCCAGCCAGAGCCCACAGGAGGGAACATGGGAGGAGCCCGCAGACGCTGCTCCCAGTGGCACGGGCTCGGGAGCTGTCTAGAAGTCCGGGGACTTGATCAAGGAAGGGCTGTCACTTTGGAGGTTCAAACAGAAACATCTCAAAGCAAAGGAAGAAAAAGGAGCCCCAGGAAGAACTCACTCTTCTCCTTTCATGGGCCCTTCCCCGTGAGCTCGAGCGGGTCCCCGGGCCCCAGCCCCCACTGGTTCTGCTGGCCTCGCCTGGCTCCAGTCCACGGCTCCAGCCGGCGCTCCCCCAGCCTTCAAAGAGCCTACAGCCTAGCAAATCACCCTGTTATATGCTCCTTTCTCAGATCTTGGCTCATCCATACAGAATGAGGGGACTGAGGCTACTAATACAAATCCTGAGATTTATTCTGCTCAGGAAGGGGTAAAACAGCTGGCAGATAAAAAAATGGCAGTGGCTTCTATCCTTTCAAATGGTAGGGATTTAAAATGTGACTTCAGGCAGAAGGAAAACTAATAACTCGGGCCACAGTGGGATAACCAAGGGCCAGTGATGGTTACCGCCGTTCGTCCCTCATTTCCTCACAACCCAGCCACCTCCCAAGATAGCAGGGCAGTGAATGGGTCTTAGGCCAGTTTACAAAGAAGAAACTGAGGCTGGTGAGTGGAGGTGCCTCCTGAAGACCCCACATGGCCAGGGCTGGGGTGAAATGGGGCACCGGTGCCCAAGAAGTTGAGCTTTATCAAACACTGCTTCCCCCAAGGTACCTTCCTACCCCCCACTTACAGGGGTGACTCACCTTGCTCCATGCAGAGGAAAACTGTTTGTGGTCTCTGCGTCTCCACAAGTGGGACCAGCTTCTCATTTCTGGATACCAAAGGGAGTGCCCTCGCTTAGTGCAGGGCCTCGTGGTTCTCACCTCCTAGCTATGTACCCTGTTGTGAGAAGAGGAAGGTATGAATGAGGAGCCAGGAAGCATCCCCACCTGTATATGTTTATGATGTCAGTAGCTTTGTCCAGGTAGAGTCCACACGGTTGCTAATGCAAGCAAACCTGAGCACACACTGCACATGAGGGCTTGGGGTCTGGAAGGCTCTTCACTTTACTTAAGCCCACAATATTTATGGGTTCCTATGACACGCAGGGCCCTCCCTGCAAGGGGTGCTACCAGGAAGCACTGTTACCATGGTACAGTTCATCCACTGGTGAGGCATGGGTTGTGGTAGAAAGAGCTCAGTCTTTAGTTTCCCAGCCCAGCCCATTTCTCAGTTATAGATTGTTGGGTCAACCAGTTAATAGGAAGAAATGTGAAATGAAGAGCCTTGGCCAATAGAAGAGGTAGATTTGGAAAGCTACAGATAGGAAAACAGGAAGGCAAGGCCAGGAAGTTGGGACCTAAAAGGAATACTCAGAACCAAGGATGCATATGGTCCACTGGATAAGTGGTCGCTTCTATGACACGGCAGGCCAGGGTATGGGCAGGACCAGCCAGAACCACCTAGAGCAAGGATGTTGCTTTATGTAAGTCTCGGCATCTTAGGGCAAAGATGATAATTTTCCCTCTGGCCAATCATGTTTGTTCTCACCCGGTCCCCATTGCTGAGCTAGCTTTTGCTGTATGCCCTCACCAGGACCCACACTTCCTCAGTTCTGGGTGAATCTGTTGTGGGCACTGAGGTGTCAGTCTAGTAAGGCTGCTGCAGACAGCAGACGTGAAGGCCAGGGAGGAGCAGCCAGGAGGCACTGCCCAGCCCAGATCCAGAGCCATTGAAGGAGATGGATAATTCTGCACCTCATTGCCTTAGAACAGAATGAAGAAAGCTGCCCTCCCTTAGCCTGTAAATGGTCACTCCTGGGCTGGACAGACAGGCCATCAGCAGCATGATGAGGCAGAAGTAATGCCATGAAAAACATGGGTGATTCCAAGGGTTAAATGAACAGGATCCTAAGCCATGATGCCAACAGATTATATTGGGCCAACAGACTTAGGAACAAATGGTCAACCCAAGCTGCAGGGCAGTTCTAAAGATGAGACATGATGGCCATTTCATCTCAAAGCCCTGACTTGCCTGCCTCATCATCTAACTAGTCTGAGCTCCTTAGCCAATGATGCCAGCTCCAAATCACAGCTGAATAAAACAGGGAAGCGGGCAAAGTAAGTCCAATTGGAGGAGACCAGCTGAGATTCAGCCTTTTCCTTATTCCCATTCAAGGGCTCCATGTTGAAGGTTCTCCCTGTATCCTCATCTAGAGGTGATCAAATGCAGGGCCTTGGCCTCACCTCCCAGAGACCTGCCTTTGAGGTCACACACTGTCTGAACATCAGGGAGAGAAGTCAGTAGCAGAGAATGGAGGGGTTCTAGTCTCCTCTGGCACACATTTCAGAGTCAGGGACATGATCCTGAGAAGCACAGCAGAGATGTCTAAGTCATATTTGCTCATATGAGCAAAGATAGACTTCTGCATGGCATTGGCTGGCTATACAACTGTCTTATAGAGACCAAGGTCATCTCTGCGTCACTCCTACCTACCTCCAGAAGAGGCAGGAAAAGGTCATCAGAGGGGCCACATTCACCCTCTGAAAGCCACCCATGAATGTTAGGTCCCCAGGATGAGCAGTCAGCACACCCGCAATGTTAGACCCCAGGCCTGGCATCCTAGTTATCTAAGAGGTTGGGGATACCCTTTGGAACTGATACAAGGGATGTGGAAGGACTCAGGATGGCAGAGGGTCCACAGGGAAGAGCTACTGGAACATCCTTCTGGATCTGAGAGTTGCTTTGGGTGGTGAGAATTGAACCCTGGTCCCTGGTTGGAATGTTCAGAGAATGAGGGTCTGGGGACCTTAGAGTGTTGAACAGAAAGGTATTGGTATGAAAGACTGGAGCTCAGTGTAATTAATGTAATTTATGGATCACTGATAAGTTAGACCCTTAGATTTGGGGGGTGGGGGGGAGGATGTGATATAACCTGCTACAATTGCAAAACTGAAATACACGTACTTCAGCGCCTTTGAGCTTGCAAGTACAAATCCGTGGACCTCTCATATGATGGTTCAACAAACTCTCAGTGCCTACCATGCCCCCATCTCACCCATGGAAAATTAATGATATAAGATATTTCTTGGGTCAAAGTGCCCAAAGCTGTATGGAGGCTCGGAAGGCAAATTGTTGTCATCTCAGGTCGAATCAGTCTTCTGAAGGGTCAGGCACAATACTAGTGCCCATATCCTCCACTGGTCTGTAGATTGTTAGAAAATTCAAGCACAGTTTGCTAGTCCCAGGTCGCTCCTGCAAGTGGAACTAGGATCAATGGGTGGTACTTAGTAGCTATAAGGAAGAACTTGCTGTCTGCCAGAGAGGACAGGCTGTCCGTCTCTGCAGCGGTCCAGCAGAAGCCAGGCATCTCTTTAAAGGGAAGCAGGAACGTTGCTGTACGGGCCTTTAAGTTGCTTCCCCCGAGGAGGGTGAGAGTTTATGGAGCTGGGATCACGTTTGAACTCTTTCATTCCTGCAGAGCACTAGGCCAAGCAGGTTGTGCTTGGTTTATGCAGGCTGAAGATCCCTGTTCTCCTACCCGAATCTCCCCACCATGCAGGCCCAGATGCTGCTCTGGCAACAGATCTAGGGCTCCTCCAGGCTGGTTATCACCAAATAGCCCAGAAAGAACAGCTGCTTTTGTATAGAGCCAATGCCCAAGATCCCTGACTAGACCAGCCATAAGGTGAACAAGGCTGTCAGTGGGAGCCAGAACCAGTCAAGGTCCAAGCAGGACCCAGCACAGGATTTTGCTTACCACATACATTATCTCCAGAGGTTAATTCTATCCCCACGCCCCACTCCCCACGCCAGGCCTGTTGGAGCAGACTGCAAAGCAAAAGCACAGTGACTGTTGATACACGATTATAACCATCCCTGCTATTCCCCATCTCATTGCCAGGTGGACCCTGGGCTAGACCAGACTAATCCAGGCTAACCTATATTGGCAATCAGACTCAAAGCACTTTTCTACCTTCTCTTTCCACCCTATATCCTACTACCCAATGAAAGGCAAAGGGTCAGGCTTCTTCTACCATTGCCTTGACTACTGGATACCATCATAGCCCTCTCGGAGCATCATGGGGTTCTCAACTCCATGGAGACTGGCATTTTCACATGCACTGGGCACATGCCACTGCGTGAGACTGAAGTCTCCACAGTGTTATCAGCCTCCTCCGTGAACCCCGATGGCCTGCACTTGTACAGTTTGGGTGTTTGATAAATAAAGCACGTATGAGAAGAGAAAACAAAATAAATCAACTTTTTTAAAAGCCAGCACTGTGCTGTCAGTGTTCTTTTTTTTTCCTTTTTCTTTCCAATTCTAGCTTAAAAAAGCAGAAGTAAATAATGTCAGGTCAATGAATATCAGATATATTTTTTGACGTACATTACAGTGAAGTGTAATCTTTTTACACCTGCAAGTCCATCTTATTTATTCTTGTAAATGTTCCCTGACAATGTTTGTAATATGGCTGTGTTGAAAATCTATACAATAAAGCTGTGACCCTGAGATTCATGTTTTCCTAAGATATTCGCTCTGGTGTCTTCCTGACGTTGGGTAGGGGTCAGGTAGAGATGAGTCAAAGAAGAAAGAGGAGAAAAACCTATTATCAGCTAGGTTTCGTTATATTTATGTTCACTTAATCCTTATATCTCTGACACCGGAAATAGTATCCCCTCTTTGCAAATGAGAAAGTTGAAGTTCATAAATACTAAGGGATTTTACATGATTACACATTACACTATGACAGGGTTGGGTCTAAAACAGTTTTTCTCAAGTGTGGTCCATTGAACACTGGCCTCAGAACACTCGGGAAGTTTGTTAAACACACATATGTTTAACCCCCAACAGAATCACAATGTCAAGATCTGCATATAACATATCACCCCAAAACTCAGTGACTTAAAACCGCGGTCCTTTATGGAAGCCAGCTGGGGCTTGACTGATCTGGGCTGAGCTCAGCTGTTCTCAGCTGGCCTGCTCATGTGTCAACTATGGGCTCTATCTACTCCAGGCCAGGCTTGCCTGGGACACCTGGGGTGGTACAGCTCTGCTCCAGGTGTCTCATCCTCCTCCTGGGCCAGCAAGCCAGCCTAGGCAACCACTTCTCATGGCGATAGCAGGAACATGAGAGAGAAAGTCCAATCATGTTATTCTGAGTCATGTTGGCAACATCCCATTGGACAAAGCTACTTGCATGACAATACTCAAAATCACGGAGCAGAGACATACACTCCACCCCTTGACATAGAGCCCTGCTTCTCAATGTTCCAATAAATGCTGTGATTAGGTACCAAACTAATGGTGGCAAGTGCAGCCTTTAACCCTCTCACCTCAGAGTGGTCCATAGATTACCTATGCCAGTTCACCTGAGAAACTTCCAAATATGCAGAGTCTGATTCAGTAGATCCAGGAGCGTCCCAGGAATCCACATGCTTACCCAGTGCCCAGATGGTAAGTTAACACAATTATTTTAGACCCAACCCTTTTATAGTGCAATGTGTAGTCACATAAAATCCCTTAATATTTATGAACTTCAACTTTCTCATCTGCAAAGTAAGGCAAGCACTATCTAACTGTTGGTGCTGTTTGTTATAGAGAGGAAGACAGGGCCTGAGGTGACGAGGAGACAAACCAGTTCCCTAACTAAGGTATGAGGCTGCCAATCTCTGAGTAAATGCACATGCTCTACTTTCCAAATGAGCAGGAGAAACAGCCAGAACCAACTCCTGAGAGTACCCTGGTTCCCTAGTTCTAAGTATGAGCTAGAAGCATGAGCCACAGGGCTGGGCCCAGGGTTCACTTTGTTCTCACACAGCCTTGGGAACGCTAGCAGGGTTCTGCAACCTAAGGGACCTGGGTGTAGTTCCCAGCAGACCCCCGTAAGCCACAGAACCCGGGAGCACGTGCTTCCCAGCTTGGGTCCTGAGTAGGGAACCTGGAGGCTAGCCAGCCAGTAATCCTCGTCCCTTTGTCCCTAGCTTTGCTAATCTCACTTATTCTGCCCACTGTATTTATTCTTTTTTGCCACAAATGTAACAGTTGACTTTGGGAAAATAAAATATTTTTAAAGGTTAACACTTTATATATCTCCTAATAACAAATTTACTGTGGGGCCTATCATTTTCCCCCAAATGGAAATATCTTTTAGAGTTATTATAAAAATAGCATATACTCACTTAAAAACCTCAATTCAAAATTGTTTGAGGCATAATTTGAAAGTAACCACTTCTCAAAGGTACTTATTAATATTTTTATGCCATTCCAGACCTTTCTATGCAGATACATACATACATACATGCCGGAAGCCGGTCCATCCTTGCTGCTTGACACAGTCGCTGCAGGAAAGAAACATCTGCACAGCATATGTTTCAAGGGACCTGGCGTATATAGCATACTGTTCTTAATATGTTTGCTCCCCTTAGTGCTGTATGTTTTAACCAAGGTCACCTCTCCGAGAAAGGTTGTTTCCCCAGGTAGGAATTTTTCCTTGAAGTCAGGGAGGGGATGCCTCTCCTAGAAAGGTTGTTTCCCCAGGTAGGAACTTTTCCCTGAAGTCAGGGAGGGGATGAAACTCCTTAACTAAGTGCCAGGCGGGTAGTTAATCACTACAAACAATCATGCTTAAGCTACATAATCTTTACTCCCTGGAATGGAGATAAGAAACGCCCTAACCTTTGTAATAGAAATTGACAGGATTAAAATCAACTGGTATAAATACGGATGTAACAAGACAATAAACGGCAGAACTTCTCTGGAGATCCAGACCAGAACTTGGCTGGAGATCCTGGCTCGGCTGCTGATCAACTGAACGCTGTCTCCGTGTCATTCCTTCTTTGCAGACTCCGTCTAGACCTTTGGGAACCCCTGGACCCGCTGGGGGTGGACCCCAGCACATACATACACACACACACACACGCACGCGCACACACACACACACACACACACATTCTGAGACAAGCTTCTTTCCACTTAACACCATGCCATGGTCATATTTCCATGGAAATATGCTTAAATATCGCTTATCTGTCTTGACAACTCCCCAGTATTCCTGAGCCTGGCTGACCTGGTTTGGGTGCGTCCAGACTCAGGTGCTCTCACAGCGATGTCTCTGGGACAGCATGCACAGTGAGGGATGCCACCCCCGTGTGCCCTGACCTGGACACTGACTAGAGTGGCACAATTCACTTTACATGTCAGACTGGAGCCAGGTGTAAGTTTGCAGAATCTGGGATATTTTGCAGCCTAAGCACCTCCCTGCTCTCTCCTCAGAGTGCCTGCAGGCTAGAGGCTGCTGTTCCAGACAGTCCCCCCCTATCTCAGTTGACGGTTGAATGGGGAGCCTGGCTTTAAGAACCAACTGAGCCAGGAGGAAGGTTACCACCTCCTTCTGGATGATGAGGACCCTGGTGGCTCTATGTGCCTAGAGAGAAGGTGAAGTCATCCCTCTATAGGTCATAGGGTGAGCAGGGCAGGACCAAGAAGCCATCCTTGTGATCATGACTGACTCCATCTCACCCCCGTCTCCTCTACTATACCTACAATGCAGAGTAAAAGCTGGGAATTCTGCCGCCAGGCCCGAGAGGAGTTTCCTCTGGTTAAAAGACACAGCAGCTAAAATGAGAATCACCAGGGGTTGATGCTGAATCATGATTTGCTAGATCATACACCTAGAAGATGTAAAGGGGCCTCCATGAAAATGAAGCATTTCAACCCTCCAGATGGTCTGCACTCACTCAGAAAACTGGTCAATCGTCCATTGCCAGCTCCTGGGAGAGGAAATGACATTAAGAAGCTCTGTGGGAGGGAGAAGGGCAGGGAGAACCTATGGAAATGCATGCTGAGGATATCAGCTTTCATACCCCCATCGGATTGCTCCTGGAGGGAGCACACTGTCAGTGGAATGTGTACAAGACCAGGTGAAATAGATGCATATCGTATCACTGAATATTCTCAGCCTCCCCGCTTCTCCACGGCTGTGCTCACCATGTCCAAGCAGACTTCTTCTGGTTTCCGGAGGGACAGCCATGGTGCCTCCCCTCAGACAGGCGCTGCACCTCTTTCTCTTCCTGCCCCAAGGTTCCTGACGCTGTGCTGAGATGCCCACAGGATCCCACTCATATGCGTGTCACTCAAGGAATCCGGGGGTTAAGCCCCCATGGGGCAACCTCTGACCAAGGGGAGACTGAAGCCTGCAGACAAATGCTTCCTCCTTTCTTTCCTCTGAAGGCAGTTCTGAGCTATATTTCACATAACTTTTCAAGTGGTTCCAGAGTAAGCAAACGGACTCATAGAAATAGCCAACTTCATAACACAACCTTGTGTTGCCTCTCTCGCCCTCCTGCTGATTTACACCCCCACCCCCCTTGCTTCCTGGATTTATATTTCCAAATAAAACATTGTCTGAGGCTTTGCATTAGGGGGACACCACCTGGGAAACTGGGCTTCAGCTACACACACTACCCCGTCCTCCAGCTGTTAGTCTGAGATGAGACCCTGCCACACACAGTGGGTGGCCAGCTATCCCAGGCTCATCCCAAGGGCCGCATGTTAATTTGCTACTCAGATTTGGGAGCAGGGGCCCTACCATCTCATATTTTTGCTCAAAATCAAAAGCCTGCCCAGTAAACAGTAAGAGGGACTATCCGTGGCCCCACAGGGGGCCCAATTTCACAATTAGCACAACCAATGGGTACTGGCCAGTGGAATAGGGAAGTTATCTGGATGGGGGATTCAGGCCCACAAAGTCAGGAGCCTGCAGCAATTCTAACTGTGGTCCTACCCTTGGCAGGACATGTCTCCTAAGGAACCATGTAGGCAGCTAGTTCCCAACGGGGACAATGTGACAGAAAAAGATAGGGGCAGGGGAGTTCCAGCCAACACTTAATGCAGATCCAAACCTCTTCAGGGCTGATGCAGCCCCCTGTGCTGAGAGCCCAGCTCTGGCTAAGTCCCCTGCCCCACAGGCTGTTGGATGTCTAAACTGGCAGAGAAAAAAAAACACTAAATCTCAGCTTCCTTCTTTCCCTCCACCGTGGCCTGGCAGCTCCCACCTCTGAGCAAGCTCAGAACTTCCCTTGTAAGGATGAACAAACAGGAAAACATCCCCAAGACACATAAAAATATGCAGGAGTTCAAAGCAGAGGTACACTTTGAGGAATGAGAAAAAGTGCCTGCCCATGAACTCAAGTCCCTGCCAGGAAAGGGAACGCGTTCTACAACAAACACAAATGAAGAAAAACGCGAGGTTTGATAACTGAATCCAAGGACCTTCTTTGTTGTTGTATTCAACAAAACAAATCGCTGACAACTCTAATCAAGAGAAAGCACAAATACCCAAAATTAGGAAATTGAAAAGAGATTTAATAGTGATTGAGGAAATTACACAGCATTTTAAAAGGATTATTATGAATAACTCTGGCTAGTATATTTTAAAATCTTGACCAAGTAGATAATTTTGGAAATTTATGAATATTACCAAAGTTGTTTTTTAAAAATACAAGA